TTACTCTCTACCCGCTCGTCTGTTCACTGCTATTTATACATTTATCACTTAGGCCTTCTAGAAATCCCCATAGCTTCGCATCAATGAATTACAAACACAAAACTATTTAATTAATAATACTAATTACACTAAACAGCCTTTTATATCTGACGATAAGCCCCCTCTCCAAGAGAGATATTCTTTTTTTTTTCACTATATACAAAGACTTTTCAGTTCATATATTAAGTCTTCTCATATACTTTACACCAACATTTGCAGTTCCTTTGTTAGTCTCTTCTCACATAGGACCTCCAGTAGGTCTTCACCTTAACAGGATCCCTTGTCTACATCTTGATCTCGTGTTGTCTGGAGTCTGTATTTCCTAATCTATCTGTATGCTGACACAGTAAATCTTGTTACTCTTTCTTCTTCTTATCAGTTGGTTCTTCACTTATGTTGATGTTCTTGTACATCTCATCTTCACCCAGTGCTATTAGGCCTAGTAGGTCCTTATCTTCTATAATAAAGTCATTGTCTTCAGATTCTGCTTCTATGACAGCCACACCTGCCATGTCCATCTGTACATCAATAGCTGCATAAGGTCTTCTTCTCTCTTGAAGTACCTCTTCAACAGATTGGCATGTAGACCATAATTGTTCCATCACCTTTCACATTATAGTGCATTCTGTGGACCACTTCATGTACTGTGAAAGGTCCTTTCCACTGCCGGGTGAGTTTGTTCTTAGCTGTGGGTAGCAGAACTAAAACCTTCTGTCCAACCTTGAAACGTCGACCCTTGTCCTTCTTGTAATAGAAGTTTATGACTGTGTTTGGGTTTAGCTTCTCCAGTAAAACTGTTTTGATAGGTCCAATTCAATACTCCTTTCCAGTCCTCTGTTTTGTAAGTCTCTTTTCTCTTTATCTTGTGCTTGACTTTCTCTCAGGCACTGTCCCAAAGCTTTTGTGGTGAAGGGTCTTTCTTCTGCACTTCTGTCGCGTGAGTTACTGCAGTTGTATCCTTAACTTCCAATAATCGTCTGCCTTTTGTCAAAGTCTACACAGGGGGGTTCAATTAGTTTAGAACACCCTTTGACAAGACAAATTATTATCCTTGTATCTTTCGAACTGTTAATCTCACTGTAACATATCCACCAGTAGGCGACTCCCACAGTAGTTACCTTTTTTATCTGACTGAACTTCTCTTTCACGTGTTCCTGCTCGTCTGGCCACAGCTATTTATACGTGTATCACTTAGGCCTCGTAGAAATCTCCATAGCCTCGACATCAATGAATTACAAACACAAAATTAATCAATTACTTAATAATGCTACATACACTAAACAGTCTTTTATATCTGACATCCAGGTATACTCACTATAGGTATTTACAGCCCAAAACATACTTTGAGTTGTTTTCAATATTTTCCATTTCCCCGCTATTGAAAAGGACTAAAAATGTAAAATCATACATTTATTTATTTCACATCGAGGCATATACATGAACCTAACAAACAAATATGTCTCGGTGGAAAATCTAAATCACAAAAAAATAAGTCTTGAAGGAAATGTGTTCCAATCAGTGGGCTCCTATGAATTGCAACATGAGACACTGGATAACTTAGTTAGGTTGAAATAACAATTAAAAGAACCTATGGGGCTGAAAAAATATTTGAACTGAGGGGGTCTGTAATAACCAAATATAATTGATGAGTTCACAGTGAATGAGGCCCAGAAGGGTGACAAAATAAATTGAGAAAGTAGAAGCGGCACCACTTACTTTGTGCCATCAAATAATGAACAAAACATGATACTGAATGAGTTTATTAACTTGTCTTGAACAGAGGCCCCTGATTGGCCAGGACCCTGATACAACTGCTCCACTGCCCATCCTTAAATCTGGCAATGCAAATGTCACGTGCCTGATTACCACCTATCTAGACTGTCAAGAGGGAATCAAGCTGCATTCCTCCTCTATTTTCTGCTATTGGTGTATTCTTGAGTAAACCAGGTTACGCAAGCACTAAGCATTTCAGACTAAATACCAGGTGAACAGGCAACAATCATGACAAATGTGTTATGTGCTCAAAATGTACTTAGCTGGTTGTCATATTATTTGAAGCACAAACCTAAGTATTTGTTACGATTGGTATTGTTCTCCTTGTCAGAGCTTGGTGCTGCAAAAAGAGAAAGGATGCAATTGATCATTCAGAGAGTGTACATATGCAGCAGTAGAAAGATCAGACAGAAGAAACTTTGATAGGTTCCACAAACTAACTGATGGGGAATACTTAAATCTGACTGGAGTGGCCTAGTTATTTGATTTCTGCTGTTGAAGAAAACCCATGAAAGATCTGTGTGAGCTATTTTTAGTTCTCTTCATTAAATTTTATACTGGGTTAATTAACATAATTCTGTCTACCATCTTCGATTTGGATGAAATTTTGTTCTAAAAAGCATTAAACTTGAGTTATTCTGATTTGATGAGTAACTTTAAATCTAGATTTTGAACGTTTTGGGCATCAAAAATAAAATCATTACTTTAATAGTGTACTTCTATATGGCTCAGAATGCTGGAGATGACTTCAAGAAACTTCTGGCCCAACACAATCAGCAACGAAGAACTGCAGAGAACATCAAAAGCACTGCAAGTGAAGAGAAGATGATGGAGGTGGATGGACACGTGTACAGAATGCCATCCACCACACTCCCTAAAATAGCTCTTTGGTGGACACTACAAGGAAAAAGGAAATGGGGCCATCCAAAAGAAACCTGGAGAAGAACAGTGGAGGGAGATAAATGAAAGAATACAACCTAACCTGGGAATCAGCTGGATGACAGGATTCCAACTGAAGACAGTATAAATCCCTCATGTGCCACACAGTATGAAGAGAGCCAAGTGAGTTACCAAGAATTGATATCTAATTATGCCCAACCTTTTACATGGGAAATTTGAGAAGAGATTAACAAAATTGGTATTCTAGCTTTAGATGGTCCAATGTATATATATATATATATATATGAATAAACTCCAAGTATGCAAACGTTAGTAAGCATAAGCAAAGGCCACTTTTCAAACCAGTAGTGGTTGTATCCACTGATAAGTATATTGTATCTATCCTTGGTCTATCATATGCTTGTGGGCAAAATAACGATGTAGCAATTACTAATCCCATGTTCCAAAATGATGTTGAAAACATTTGCATCTGGATACAACATTAAATGACTGCTTTAGATAGAAGTGTACCAAGTATTTTTCATAAACTCAATGTGAAAGCTTAGATACAATTTCTTTTGATAAAACAGTCAACAAGCATCCTATAGTGGGGCCCTAGTCTTTCAAGGAGGATTGTCATAAAAGAGTTGAACATACTTGGAATGGTACTTATCAAGCTGCAGAAACTTTTCATAGGGAATTATGTGAAATATGTCGGTACTCTTTGCACCTTGTATAGGCCTACTCACATATAAAAACACTTAACCCAATTTTCCTATTGCAGAAGACATGTTTGAGCTGCTGAAACAACCCAACCTTATATTCAGAAACTGTAGCACAAAAAAAGTTGATGTGGAAAAAGATTGAAGCAAGTGATTTGGCTTTGAACTTTCCATAGATGTCTGTGGTCACTCATTTGGGTTATATCAGCTGAAACAAGTGGTACCATTAAACAATGAATTGAGTGACATGCGAGTCAGTAGTGAAAAGAATGCTCTTTTCTGTGCAAAAGATTCAACTCTTCCCTTTTTCAAATAAGGTGTACTTTATTCAACAGAATAGAGTGACCCTCATGTACTGGTTTGGTGCTGTGTCATTAAGGGGCAAGAGAGGAGAGTGCTGTGCACACATAGCATCAGTATTGTGGATTCTGGAATGCAAGGAACACAGGCTCACAAGACCACCATTCATACCTAAAGTTGTTTAGGATGCTGTGACCATCATCAATAATACTTCTGATGACAATGACTAAAGGTGGATAACATCAAGTGTACATAGTATGTCAAATGTTATATTTTTATGGGTAAGTATGGATGTGATTTTCAGGTTCACCGATATCCAGAAATGCCGATTGTGAAAATGTTATGCATAAAATATACCACACACACAAAAAAAGTAAAGGAAACAGAAGTGAACAAATAAAACAATCTTTATACATGCTAAAGTGTATGTAGGCGAGTTGTTACTTGCTGACTCACTATTCTGTTTTGATTCTTAATGGTTGCTAAGGTGAGAGGAATCTTTTTAAAAAGTGCCCACACAGGACAGAGGTTTAATTTTCACCTGTGTGGGACAAAGGAAGAATCCTGATTTACAATCAAAATTCAGACATTAAAAAGTAAGGTACCTCAGAATTCAATGCTTCATAGGTCATTTTTCCAAGTAATATTTATAGATGGGAAAACTCATACAAATTCCTGTGTCATCCCTTGAGATGGGTTTGCCCTTCCCTAGAAGGGACAGATATAGGGAAAAAGTGATGCATGTTTCTATCCAACCATTCACTGAGTAAAAGCATTAGTACATTTATGACCTTTCAATAATCAGTTAACAAGAATGTCCTACTACATGATGAATATCTTATAGCCCTTATCCATCAGAATAAAATAAAGTTGGGTGGGTGGTGCAAAAGCCACTGATTTGATGTATATAATTTCCATAATTCAACATGTTTTACCTACCTTTCTGCAGTTATTAAAACAAAATACAAATCATTATTTGAGAAGTTAATGAGCCAGTAGTTAGGGTGATAGTACTGATGTGCCAATGAGCATTTATATTTTTCTTATTACATTAATAAATGTTATCGACATCCTCTGAAAACTCATTTGAAAAATGTTCTACTTATTAACAACACTAAGGATTATTTACGTTTTCAACAGCTTTCCATGGGACTACAAAGTGCTGTAAAATTTCACCTGTAATTAATGATTTTAAACAGTAATAACTGATAGCACATTTGAACTTGATTGTATGAATCATACTTATATCAAAATATCTCAGTTCAATTAAAGACAAAAAAATGCATATACATGATGAAAACACTTTTAATTTTCTAACTTCTTTACACATGCAATAAAATACAGTTTACAACTTGAATTTTGAAAACAGCTTAAATCTAGCACATTTTTGAAGTAAGACAGATCTTCACTTTTATTTATTACTCATCTATGTTTTAAACACCTGGAACATTCTTTTTCATTAAAAATGTTGCAATCATGACTGACATTAATGTTTTATTTCCACTGCAACACATACATAACTTTAAGACTGAAGGATAGCAATATCATGATTTATTTTGAATTAAAGTAATTTTTAATTTCATCTTTCAACCTTCTTATACAAAATGTAATTTATACATATATATATAGATTTATCCAAGAAATAGTTAAAAAAAAACTTGTGCCAATTCTAAAAGTGCATATTTAGTACCTTAACAAGAAAATCAAAATTTATAAGCATTATGTAACGATATTGCATTGTTAGCATTCCATTAAATTTAACTACGAGTCATCAAATGTATTATGTTTTCTGTTTTACAAGTTTTATCAAATACCTTAATTAACTAGTAATGAAAAATACATCATATGCAACTAGACTGCATGACCAGAATACAAATATTTTACAAATGTCTAGCAAATATATCTATCAAAAACACAGAAATTGCCCACAGCTTTACTTCATAATAGTTGAAATTCTGTTTAACAACATGCACTGGACAGCTAATTGGGTAGTATTAAATCCTTTAAATGTCCTTGTGATGTTCCATTTTTTTACAAAAACAGCCCATGTTTTTCAGCTTTTGAAATTATACCCCCTGTTATGTATTACTTAATATATTTCGTTCTGCGATATTCTAACTGACCAAAGACTGTTAGTTTTAACTTATATCATGCAAGTTTTTTCACATCAACAAGCAATTCTTAAAATATCTAAAACTTAAAAGCACAGGCTCTTGACAACAAAAAACAAGAGGAAAAACAATGTTTTTAATTACTTTGTATTATAAGAATTGACAAGTTAAACTGCTAAAAGAAACTCACAAAAGACAAAGTTATTATTTACAATCAAATGCTACCACACCATTGGGTTATAAGATAAAACAAAGTAATTGATTTCTGCTTGGTAGCTACTACAGAAATTATAAAATCATTTCTACAAAAATTCTCTTTGAAGCAATTCTACATAAACAAGGAATTTTTGATAGCTTACATATAAAATGGAGATTTAATAATTCAAACATTTGTAAATTCATGTGCATAAAAGAGCTATCTTTACAAACTTTCCAAATTCTCATCACTGGTGTTAAATATAAAGCAATATATTATTTTCATAGTGAATGTAGATTATTTTATCTTACTGCCTTTTCCCCAGTAAGCAGCTAACATAAAATATATATACAATACATGGTTAAATCACATTAAAGTTTTTTTTTTCTGGATTAATATTAATACTATAAATTTTCAATTGATGTTAACTAAACTATACTAATGACAAGTATTAACAAATATTAGGTATCAATGGTGAAAGAAATCTGTAGCCTGTTTCAGGAGGTATCACAATTATAAAACAACTAAAGTAATTTCTGTTAAACATGTTTTTGTCATTGTTTATAGTATCTGAAATACCATCCACTGATATACAAACTGCCATAGTTTTGTGAAATAGTATCAGTAAATGGCATGAATAGGACAAATATAGCTCAGAAGAAATGTAAGTGACTACTGCTATGCTACCAATCAAAAAATACTTGCACTTTTTCAACAGTTAACGTCACTAAGTTGGTTAATATTTTGACATTTTGCACAACACTAAATTACTCGTAGTTAAGTACAAATTCATCTGACTACACTACAAACCCAAAACTAATTTATATAAAGAAACAAAAGATGTTACTGTGATGAATTAATAATTTATGGTGGTAAGAGATTTCTTTCCTGGAGAATCAACACTAATGGGACTATAAAAAAATCTAAAATACATTACATTATCTTTCAGAGAGAAAGCCAATTTTCTAATACCAAACTATTCCTCAACATTTACTACAAGTAATTGTTTTAAACTATCATAATATATGCACAAACTCTCACCTTACAAAAATTCTTGAAAACTCCACAGGATTACATACAAATCTGTTTAACTTTGAAATAGCCTCAATCATGCACCTTTTGATCAGTACTATTAACAAACGTATAAATTGTTCTGATATTTCATCTAAACGAGTTTAATAAACTTTTATGCAAACTCGTATATGAATACATTGTGTAGTTCAAATTTTAATCCTGTTCTACCATTTATTTTCTTATTGTACCAGCAAAAACTTAAACTTGTTTTAGCCTGTGGTTTGCAATATGTTAAACTGGTGACTACAGCTAGATCACTAGTCCCCACACGTGTAGAATAACTGAAAGTATGAGCCAGGCATAATAATCACTTATGAAGTACATCATTGTATAATAGCTTAAGTGGCTCCAAACAATAAACACACTCCAAATCAAGACATGACCAGCTTTATTTTTTTTCATCTTTCTGTCACATGTTCCGGAGCATGATGTTCTGGTATACTGTACCATTGGCCATCTCCCCTAGAATTTGAGGGATCTTGAAAAATGTTCATCTCATCATAAACTGAACTGGATGAATAACTTGTGGAGGGCTCTGGGTCACTGGCAAGCTCTGCTGTGCGACTTCCACTTGTAGCAAGATATTTCCTACAGGAAAATTAAGTTCAAGACTTAAAGGAGAATACAATTCTATATACAAATTATGTTAGTTTCACAATAGTGATTATCATAGTCATTAGTTACTAACTACAACTAAATTTTGACATCAACACTAAAAATCAGACCTACTAATTTCAAGCTTACAATTCAAGATTTTCATATCACATTCACTGAACTCTCTTTACCTTGAATATTGTTGAGGATTTGTATGTAAGAGGTGTTTGCAATTCCTCAACTGTCATAATAACAATGTGCTGTTCACGAGATGTTTATAATCTACATTTTATGATAGACTGTATGATGGTAGGTGAAGACTGTTTCAAAATTGTGGTAGTATACTTTGTACTTTTCAAGGTCTAGATTTTAAAAAGAGCAATTCCAAGTACTTTTAAGGTTTTCAAGAATGCATATGAACTTTGTAGGTGATATAAAATTCAACAATACTGACACTCATTAGAAAGACTGGAGTTCACTAGATGGAGTATTAACCCTTTTGAGATGGGGCATAGGTATAAGGCCACGTCATTTCATTTGTTGACTTGCATTCAAAATTTTATTGAAGTACTATTTCATGACTTTATGTCAATAAGTTTGGTATCAAACTGTAGATTATACTTCATATTTTAGTATTATATATTACTAAATTTCTTAATTTAAAAGTAAATATTAAAAAACACAGTTAAACATCAATTTTTGTGCATCATGTGGCATGTTGAATACAGCACTTATTCAAATTAGGTGTTTTTGAAGTCAAAATACTAAGTCTATAGTTTCATACGAATTAGAAACTCAAACTACCGATACTGACAAGCTAGAAT